AAAAAACCCCAAATCCCAAAAAAAATCCCAAAAAAATCCCCGGGAAAAGCACCCGGCCGAGCCGCGGGAAGCGTTGGACAGCGCCGGCTCCGATCCAAATCTGCAGCTCCTCAGAGAGAATCCACTGATTGATGGGAAATTTGGGATTCCTGGAAAAGTTGGGGATTCATGGAAAAGTTTGGGGTTCATGGAAAGGTTTGGGATTCATGGAAAGGTTCGGGATTTGTGGAAAAGTTCGGGGTTTCCTCAAAAAGTTTGGGATTCCCAAAGTTCCGTCCGTCCCCGGGATCTGCAGCTCCTCGGAAAGAATCCACTGCAGGGATTCCTGGAAAAGTTTGGGATTTATGGGAAAGTTTGGGGTTTCTGGAAAGGTTTGGGGTTCCTGGAAAACTTTGGGATTTGTGGAAAAGTTTGGGATTCATGGAAAAGTCAAGGGTTGTGGAAGAGTTTGGGATTCCCAAAGTTTCGTCCGTCCCCGGGATCTGCAGCTCCTCGGAGAGAATCCACTGCTGGGGTTCCTGGAAAAGTTTGGGATTTCTGAGGAAGTTTGGGATTTATGGAAAAGTTTGGGATTTAGGGGAAAGGTTTGGGATTTGTGGAAAAGTTCGAATTTGTGGGAAAGTTTGGGATTTCTGGAGAAGTTCGGGATTCCCAAAGTTCCGTCCGTCCCCGGGATCTGCAGCTCCTCGGAGAGAATCCACTGCTGGGGTTCCTGGAAAAGTTTGGGATTTCTGAGGAAGTTTGGGATTCATGAAAAAGTTTGGAATTCATGGAAAAAGTTTGGGGTTCCTGAAAAGGTTTGGGGTTCCTGGAGAAGTTTGGGATTCCCAAAATTCCATCCATCCCCGGGATCTGCAGCTCCTCCAGGAGAATCCACTGCTGGGATTCCTGGAAAAGTTTGGGATTCTTGGAAAAGTGTGGGATTCCTGGAGAACTTCAGGGTTTGCGGGAAAGTTCAGGATTCCTGGAAAAGTTTGGGATTTGTGGAAAAGTTTGGGATTTGTGGGAATATCCCCACCCAGTTTCTCCAGGAAATCCCAGAAAAACATTGGATTTTTGGGGTGGGATTGGTGATCCCAAGGAATGTTTGACCTGGGAATATTCACACAATAAATTCCTTCAGGGAATCCTGATAAAAGGTTGGATTTTGGGATTGGGGATGGAGATTCCTTGGAATGTTTGACCTGGGAATATCCACCCCCAATTCCCGTGGTTTTCTCAGCTTCCTGAGGAGTTTTTTTGGGAATTTAAATTTAAATTTGCAAATTTTCACCTCTTTCTCAGTCTGCGGGGAAGGATTTGTTTGAAATGTTACTGATTGGAATTAAAATTAAATTCATTCAAATTAAATTAATTCCAATCCAATTTTAAATGACAGGTTTTGCATTGACGACTGCACCGGGGATGGGAAATTATAGCTTAAAAAAAAATCAGATTTTGGTCTAAAATAGAACGGTTTCAAAGCATCTCTGAAATAAAATCCATTTTCCCTCTTTCCTGGAAAAAAAAAAGAAAAAAAACCTCTTTGGGAAAGAATTCCTCCAAATTTGAGATGTTTTATTTGATTAAATTTATTCTCTTAATTAATGTAAATACAAGAATCTGTCTCTGTCTCGCCTTTCTCCTCTTTCTTTGATGTTTTTATTAAATGCCTTGGATAAGAGGTTTTATATCCAGATTTGATTTTTTTTCTGGTTTTCCATTAAATATTTAAATATTGAAATATTTCTGTGTGCCTTGGGAACGCTGCTGGGTTTGTCAGGGATGGGGGAAAAGGAAATTCCTTGGGAAGAGGAAGAACCCCATCAAAAATGGGTT